TCAGCTGTGTTTATTTAAGAAAAGAAAAACCAGAAAGTGTTGGTTTTTTCTGCAAACGTTTTGCCGTGTGACCCATGTAGAAGCAGCCGTGAATAGCCCCCTGCCTGGTGCCCTCGTGCGTGGATGTGTGGGGGAAGGGAAAGGCCTTTGCTTTCCCTTTTTCTGTTATTTTTCCTTTTTCCTTTCCCTCTCCCTGCCCCTCTTTCGTTGTTTGCTCAGCGAGCACCGGGCTGGGGAGAAGCACGGCCGGGCTTGGATTTTTTTGCACTGAACTCTCTCCCGCGCGGCAGTGCCAAAACACGACTTCATGCGAAGCGCCTGGGTCTGAAGGCAGCAAATGAGTCCCAGCTGCGGCGGCGCCCCAGACGTTGTGTCAGCCTCGAGGCGGCCAGCGCGGCGGCAGCACCAGCCCCGCGCTCCTTTTGTCCTGTTTCCCCTTTGTCGAGAGGTTTTGTTTCTGTTTTGTAATTTGGGGCATGTCGAAGTGGAGGCGTTTTTGCTAACCTGGAAGTATTTAAATTAAAATAATTGACAAATGGAAGGGTGCCTTGTCTTTGAGCAGTGGGGAGAGGAGGATAGAGGATGGAAAAGCTGTGCTGAATTTGTTATCTGGGTGTTGGATTTCTCCTGCATAAGTGTATATAAAGTGGGACGATCTAAATCCTCCTTTATTATTTCCTTAACCTCCCCAGAGCGGCTTTGCCAGGGTCGATGAATTGTTTTGCTTTTCCCAGGCTCATCCCACTTAGAGAAGAGAGAGGAAAAAAAAAAAAAAAAAGGGAAACTGTTTCTGGGCTTTGGCTCAACATTTCTTCATTTCTTCTTCCCTTGCAACCCCCCAAAGTTGGTGACTTAAAGAGGTGTTTTGAAAATGCCTTGTGGGATGTGTTTCTTCAGGAGCTTCATATATCTAAAATGTTTCACTGCAAACTGTGGTGTCTAAGTATCTTGATGCCTCATGAAAAAGCAAGGAAAAGAAAAAAAAAACACTGCAGTATAATTTAGGCTGCCATCTGTAACACCAGAAATAGTCATGCACATCCTGGAGGGGCCACGTTTTCTTTCCCACCTTCTGCTGGTGCTAAGAATTGTGGTGGCAATTTTTCTCATAACTTTAATAGATTGTCGTCTGCTGGCCCAAAGCCATCAGCTCAATTCACTGGGTCTCCAGCCCCCTTTAAAAGTAACAACTTGCTTTTCATCAGCTTGAATCCTGTTTAGATATGCTTTATGGGAATGGCTTAAAATATTGGCAGAGTGTGAATGCCTGAGATTTGTGTGTCTGAGTGCAGAAAATCCTGGTATTGGATACCCAGAGTACACTCAACATGGTGCATCATCACAAACTTAAGTGTTTATATTTGCCTTGTGTGATCTATTTGCCACTGCTTTTCATTGCTTGACCCTTTGCCAGGCCACCTTGTAAAATGAGGAGGAATTGGAGTCGGCTGGTTGATTATTTTGCAGGTAAGTGCGGCTTAGGAAAACATTTTCCTAATTTGTCATTCTTCGTCGCGACCAAAAGATGGCAAATGTCTAAAGCAATCTCAGCAGACTGCTTAACATAACACTGTCTCAACTGTCTCCGTCCTCTTTTGTGCGATGACAGATGCTGGAGATGGATTAGGGAAGGGATATTGGAAAAATATTTTTCATGGACTCTTACTTTGGATAGGAGCCATACGCTCAGTACAGTTATAACACCCTGTGTCAGCTAAGATCTGGCTCTAACCCATCACCAGGTTTCTCCCACTAAGCTGTTTCTGTCTTGGCTGGACTGCAGTGCCTGGAAGCAGAAGGGTAAAATCCTGATTCTTGCTGCTATCTTATGTGGGGTGGAGATCTCCCTGTAGATACTTCATTTGTCTGCCCTGAAAACCTCCAGCAAATTACAAGGTATCTTGTATTTGCAACCAAAACAGCTTGCTTTAACCCTATTATTGCCCTGCTGCCAGAATCTCTGTCTAGTCTGACTACTAGTCTGACTTTTTCCTTAATTATGAACAACTAATGCTATGGGATCCCCCATGCAAGCTGATGGTGTTTTCAAGCAGGGCTGCTGATGTGCCCTGGAGCCCTCCTTCCACTTGCAAGTAACCTGATTTCTGCTGGAACCCTTCGTTCTTATTATTTTTATCTAAAACAATGGGAACAGTCACTTCAAAACAGCATGTGTGTATCTTGAGTCACAGCTGCTGCGTACTCAGCGCTACATGGGAGAAATTACCTCCTTTTTCTGAAGCATCTTAATTGTTTCTTCAGCTTCTTTAGCAGCTATTGCAGCATAACAGGGCAGGGGGAAGAGTAGATGAACAACTCAATATGCATAATGGCAAACAAGGAACGCATGTGT